ACTAAGGATTTTACAACAAATTCACTAATTTGTTCTTTCTTTTGAGGACAAAGAGTAACCTTACAACTCCCTCAAGAATTATACCCCAATTCTTGTGCACTCTTTTTCAAAGAGAAAATACACAAATTTGCAAACTTACAAGGAAAACCTCACAAGGTAATATGTTTGCACAATTATAGAACAAGATAAGAACACTCAAAGATAATTAAAAATGAGCACAGATTGTGTTCTTGAAAGCAAAATGAATAATAAAGGAAAATTGGCTTGATTTGCACAAACTTGATGTTTGATGCTTTCTCTCTTGTTTCTCAATAATTTCTCGTTGTTTCTTATTGATCAATGGCTTCAGAACTTGTTTAAATACTCCTTTAATTGATTCTGAACGTTGGGGATACTTAGTGGAGTCAACAGAGCCGTTTATGTGTGAAAACAATTAATAAAATCAGTTGGGAGCGTCAGTGCATCGATGCATGCACAAGGTGCATCAAGTGTAAAATTCAAATATTTTGATCGTTGGACCCTTAGTGCATCGATGCATGAAATGCATTCGATGTTTCAAAATAGCCTGAGTGCATCGATGCATGGCTTGTGCATCGATGCATGGTATGTGCATCGATGCATAAAATGCATTCGATGTTCAATTTATTCATTGGTGCATCGATGTATAGATTGGTGCATCGGTGCATTGATTGGTGCATCGGTGCATCACTTTGAAAAATTGATTTTAAGCTTTATTTTGGTTCAAAATACTTTGTGAAAATTGTTTAAAAAAATAGTTTAAGTATAAAACACAATTTTACACATTTAGTAAGGTTTGAAATTGATCTTGAAAGACTTTGAGTAATATTTTGATATTCGAGTAATTAAATCGAATATACTTAGAAAATCATTTGTAAAATCTTAAAATTCATTTATACTTAATTTGTTATATCGAAAACATCAAAATGTTTTCAACAACTAACCATTATACAACCTTAGGTGTAACAACTTTTAAAGCTCTATGTGGGGTACTGTTGAACCTATTTTGATATAACAAATTTTAAAGGCAAAATATTTTGGACTAAATTAAATTTATACAAAGTTTTCAAAAATAATTCAAAGTCCATAAAACTTGAATTTTAACATAAAACAAATTTCTAAACTTGATGTATCGATATTGTTCTTTGCAGTATAAATACCACATGAACAATATCGATATTATTCTTATGGTATCGATATCCATGGTAAGGGAAGTATCAATACTCCCATGGCAATACTTATACTGCCTGTTGTTTTTCAATGTGATCAGATTCCAGAATGCAAATTTGGTATCAATACTATGTAAGTATTGATACCCTAAACACTAGAATCGATATTCCCTTTCCAAAGATCATAAACAGTTAGTTTTTATTAGAGCAATACCGATACTCCCAGCCTGAGTATCGATACTCCTGTGTCTGGACAGTTTTATTTTGCATTTTTTAAGTCCCCAATGGCTATAAACGTCTTCAAACTCATTCCAACATATAAAATGAAGTTAAAGACACTTAAAGAAGGTTACAACACCTATCCAAGCAATCCACATCAAGAGAAAAGCTCTTTCAATATTATTTTCCTTTTCTTTTGTAAATAGAGTGTTTTTGTGAGCTTAATTATGTAAACACCTTCCTTTGAGAGGTTTCTTGTTTACATTATCTTTATCCTTTTGTAAAAAAGGTTTGGTTCTTGTTTAGCCATTGAAAACTAGGGAGTTTTAAAAGGTTACTCTAAGCCTAAAAAAAGAAAGAACAAATTAGTGAATTTGTTAGAAAATCCTTAGTATGGAGCTAAGATAGTGGATGTAGACTTTATTCAGGAAGTCAAACCACTATAAATAGTTGTACATATTTCCTATCCTTACTCTCCATACTCCCAAAATTTTTATTTGGTCAATTCACCCCTCTTAACATATTTCGGTTGATCTTTTTAGTCTCATAATTCCCAACAAGTACAAATCCCCAATGACGACATGGACAAACGACACTATGGTACATTCGGTTCAATAAGTGATGGCAGAGAGAGAGAGCAATTGCAAAGGTAGCTAAAAGAAAATTTGATAAGAGCACAAAATCAGATAAAACGAATGCAGACAAAAGAAGAAGTGACAGAGAATTTAAAGAAGGGGAGGGGCGTACTTGAAAGTACAACCATACAAACAATCTTCATTTACCTTGAGAAAAAAACTTGAAATTTGCTTCTAGATATTATGGCCCTTATAAGTTGAAAAATTGGATTGGATTAGTGGCTTATGAATTGAAATTACCTACACATTCAAAAATTCATCCTATTTTTCATGTTAGCTTGTTGAAAGGAAAAGTGAGAAAGAAGTGATTACCTTGAGGGATCCACCGGAGATGAGTGAATACAAACAATATCCTGTCATTGTTCAAAATAAGAGAATGGTGAAACGACATAACAATGTCGTTACTCAATTGCTAATTCAATGGTCAAATTTGGGAAAGAAAAAAGCCATTTGGAAGATTTTTCTGTTCCAAAGTCACAGTTTCAGACTTTAATCCTTAGGGACAAGGATTAGGTGAAGAAGGGGGGGATGTTATGGCTCTCAATGGAAATGGGGAAATTAGGGATGGCATATGCCGATTTAGGGATTTCAAACGAAAAAGAGGGATGTGCTAATTTGATTTCAGTTAGAACCAAATTACAAGACACGCTTGGGCTGAAATTAGAGCAGACAGACCATGTAAAGAAAGAGAAAGAGGTTGAAGTTATCAGGAGAAAGGGAACTGGATGTAGGCTTGGGAAGGATTGATCTAGTTGGAGTAGTATTGCCAGCTGTAAAAAAATAATATTGTTAGAATTTTGTGCGAGCTGCATATATATGAAGGGGAATGTAATATGCATCCTATCTGGCATTTGAATGAATTTTCTTCTTCTTCATTCTACTTTCTCAACTTCTTAAATCCCTAATTTCTTTAATTTTTAAGTTTGTTCATAACACTCTTACCCTTAAAAAAGTCCCACAACCCATTCTAATTAACACCATTGCCCTTAAAAAAACTTCAAAAAAAATTCACGTCAAATATAAAAGCATAGAGGTGGTCATTATCCCCACTTTCCCTCGAACTAGAACCATGCATGCCACTTGTTCAAAAGTTTCAAGTTCTAGAATCGTCCATGTTCATTTCAATAGCAAGTAAAAAGAAAAGATTGTTCTCTAAGAAACACGAAAAATGAATAACACAACATTGAATACCTTCAAATGGTTTTCGTACTTTTCTTGAATTAACTGAATTTTCTTCTTCACCAACACATTTGAACTTAATGTCGAATCTATTTTCTCAAAAGTTATCTTGCTTGAACTGCTCGAAGACAACTTTATTAATAGTATCATCTTTCTCTTCTTCACCTTCTTTCCTTCTACTTGTCAATGGATTTTCTTTCATTTGGTGACAATAATGATAAAAAAGGTCTTGATTTCTCCTACCAAAATATGGTTATCGTAATAAATTTGATATAATCAATGAGATTTAAAAAATACATTTTCTGGGAAATCCAAATGGAGAAAAGAAAATGAGAGGGGATACATGAACAGTTTTGGGAACGCTAGAACATGTGGGCAGCTTTTGATTTAGAAAGTCTGATAATGACGATAGCTAGTTCGAAGTTTTGGGACTCAAATATTCTTTTGCTTCCTTAAAACTAATTTCATATTCAATTTTTCCCAAAACGAATAAGGGAAAAATTAATCTAAAACTGTCTATATATATATATATATATATATATATATATATATATATATATATATATATATATATATATAAGAGATAGGATTGGTTTTGAGTTTGCTTACGGGTGGGAAAAACGTGAGAGAATGATGAAGCAATAAAGTATTGTCCGAAAACCCTTGATGGAGATTGTTTTGATTTCATTTTTTTTTCAACCTTTTTTTCTTTGCTTCTTCTTCTTTCTTTCCCATATTTAATTGCTTGGTTTTTTTTTTAATTTGATCTCTCGTGGTTGTGGTTAGTAAATTATCTCATGTTCTTTTTCTGGAGGGATTATAATAAGAAAACCGGGAGGGATTGTAATAAAAAGAAGAATGGGATGAAACCATAGGAAGAAGAATAAACCAGAGCTAAAAAAATAAAGGTAGGGTTACGAGTTGAATCGAGAGGAATGGGATGAAACTAGAGTTCCTGAGTGTTGTTGAAGACAGTAAAAGAGTTGATGGAAGGAGAAATGGGGAAACAAGTGAGCAAAAAAAAATAAAGAAAGAAGAAGAAATGAACACGTGGAAGCAGTGATTTTTTTTTTTTATTTTTTAACTTCCATGTAATATTTCTGTTAATAGGTTAACAGATATTAAAGACTGAGGGATTTATACCGAACGAATCGATAACATTAGAGATCAAATGCATTTAATTAATAAACCAATGACCAAAGTCTATAAGACTGGAAATAAATGGGACTATTGGCATAGTTTACCCCCTAGTTTATTGAATGAAAATTATTTGTATTGGGCCAAGTGGTTTAGAAGCAATTTCATAGCAAATGAAATATCATCAAATACTATAATAGATAGGAGCAAGGACATTCATAGGATTTTATGTTAAAGATGCGAATTTAAGAAGTTATATTAAAAAAATGAGAAGACATGAAATAATAAAATTTTAACGGGTGTGAAACTAAAACATCAATAAAAATATAAAATTAAATTTTAGAATTTAGAAGGAAATTCTTTGCGAGCCAATTTTATTATACTACACTGAAATATCACCTGAAAATTGATTTTGTTTTTAGTCCTGAATACAAAAAGGAAGAAAAACACTTGATGAACAAGCAAGGATCCCAAATTAATTTAACGGAGCTGGAAAATACTATTTGAGGCAACCAACTATGTTATTAATCTAAAGGAGCAGTGTTGTGTTTTTTTCTTTTAAAGGCGATATAGCTTGTTAAGATATCGTGGTTCTTCTGAAAAGCGCATATCCCTCCGGTGCGCTTGAGGTAAGGGTTTGTTCTCAGTCCTCACTCATATCCTGGCTTGCGAATGCTAATTCTCTGAACTTCTTCATGTCGGCTTGGTATGAACTTTTGCTATAATCTGTTGTTCCTCCAAACGCATACACTGTGCTATGTCCTGGCTTTACTCCTTCGTTCAGGTCATCTAATGAAGAGTTCCCTTCCAGAGTACGCATTATCTGCTTTCCATAATACATTCGTTATAACAATTTTGATTCAAACTCGAAAATCCGACACCAGAGTATAAATTAAGAAGAGAAAGAAGGAAGTCTTGGGGATCATTGGGAAAACCTGACTCATTTTGGGGCGCTTCCGAGCTGAATGTCTGATGCTGGCGGCAGCGCAGGCCGCCATGCGTTTCATTTCTTCATGGTTGTAGTTATTATCCAAACGTGGATCCACCAGTGGACTGAGGTCGCCGTCCTCCAGTCCGCGAGTCAAATGAGGCCGAGCCTGATTCAGAGGAAAAACACTAACAGTAACGCATCATTTCTGTATGAATCTTGAGGTTTTGGCAACTGAACATCGAATTTACAAACCCAATCTACTAAGCTATCGTCCATTGCGTTTGTCGGATCCAAAGGTTGCTTTCCGGTTATGAGTTCTAATAGCATGACTCCAAATGAATAAACATCGGATTTCTCTGTCAGTTTGCCGCTCGATGCATATTCTGGAGCCAAGTACCTATACAAGGAAAAAAAACCATGTGTGATAAGCCGTTTGATCTAAAATTTCTCAAATATTTTACACTTATTTACTGTTACCCGAATGTTCTCATCACACGAGTTGAGACATGGGTGTGGTTATCTTCAGACAGCTTAGCCAATCCAAAATCAGCCACCTGCATAAAAATGTGCAAACGTTTGACTGTGAAGGAATGTGTATTAAAACAGTGGTTCTATTTTAAGAGAGAGTCTACCTTAGCTTCAAAGTTGTAGTCGAGCAGAATATTAGCTGATTTAATATCACGATGAATAATGCGAGGATGACCTGAAGAATTGAAAAGCCTTAGAGAAAGATTGAATGAAAAACGATAGAAGGGAAGAGGGAGACTTTAGATTCCTCACAGTCTTCATGAAGATAAGCAAGCCCTTTAGCAGAACCTAATGCAATTCGAAGTCTAGTCGGAAAATCCATAACCGGGCGATCATTTCCTGCGATTGTTGTGGGGAGGGTCAACTTCTAACGAAGATACTTAAGCTTTAAGGATAATCAATGAATAATCATGCGAAATTGATAATTTACCGTGGAGGTGGTATTCCAAGGTTTTATTTGGAAGAAACTCATACACCAACATGCGTTGTTGTCTTGCAATGCAGTATCCAACTAGGACACGAGGTACCGATGATGGACACGGCTAATTATTTCGACTTCGGCCTGGAATTCTCTTTCGCCTTGCCCGCTACCAGTTTTTAAACTCTTGACTGCAATCTCCTTGCCACTTGGTAACACACCTTTGTGCACGAACCCGAACCCACCTTGGCCGAGCAGATTGGCCTGAGAGAATCCGTCAGTAGCTGCTGAAAGCTCCTCATAAGTGAAAGTTCCAGTATTTATTCCAAGAGTCATACTTGGTGAAGGGGGTGCCAAATTACTATGCGGTGCCGTTGACAGCGAGCTTAGTTCACCGCTCACCATTTGTGGTTGGATTGGGGATGATGAACGCCATCCTCCACCACCACCAGCAGGAGCTGAACCCCATGCACAACTAGAAACAACACTGCCATGTTGTGGGGTTGTTTTGGCACCATATTCTCCCCATAAGCGTTGCATCGTGCCTTTATAATACGGATCATCGCCACCGGCTGCATAATAACTCATGACCCATGCAAACTTTATCAGTCACTTAAATCGTAAAATTGATATAAGGGTAAACTACATATTTAGTCATCCATCTATTCATGCAACTCCATTTTGTCACCCAATTATTTCTTTTAAAATCATACATAATGTTAGATTTTAGTTTCATTTTGATCATCAATATTTAAAAGTTAAATAGATTTGTTGATGTAGCTATTTTTCAATGATGATGTGACTATTAGCTTATTACTTTACGATGACATATTAATATTACCATCAAATTTTTAATATTAGGTGATTAAAACGTGATATTAAATATGATTTTAGAAAATACAATTAATATATTAAAATAAAATTGTGAATAAATAGAGAACTAAGTAGTTTATCATGGATAAATAAAAGAATAGTCCATATTTGTGTCATTTTAATCACCTTTAGGTTCATCATTGAACAGTAATCGGGGATTTCTTTTCCTCTTCTTTCTCTGCCAGCATACTACTAGAACGATGACAAAGATAAAGAGAAATACTCCTGCCGCTATAGCTACACCCACAACGAGATTTGTCTCCGAGTTCTCATTCGACCCACTCTCCGACGTTGAATCGTTAGACGTGGAACTACCACTGCCATTTTTGGTAGGAGTTGAGGAAGAGTTGTCGGTAACATTTTTCACAGGTGGAGGAGGAGGAGGAGGAGGATAAGGTAATGGAGGAGGCGGAGGAGCGTGGAATAGAGGAGTACTGTTAGTATGATTTTTACTAACAGATGTCGGTGGCTTGGGTGGTGGTTGTTTTGGTGGCAGTGGAGAGGATTTCGGTCGCGGTGGTGGCGATAGGATTCTGGGCGGCGGCGGAGGTGGCAATGAACTTTTGGGTGTTGGTGGTGGTGGTGAGCTATCTGGTGCTGGTGGTGATGATGATGGTGAGTTATCATCTGTGGAATTGGATGATGAAGGTGGGTTTGAGGCTGAGCTATCTTGTGTGGAATTGGATGAAGATGGGGAACTCTCAGGGGACGAAACCATTTTGCATTAACTTGGCAGGCACTTCCAACCAAGAACCACCGCCACCCCTCCCGTATTCACCCGGTTGAAAAAGAGAAAACCTGAAGAAAATCATCATATCAAAATCAATGAAATCTTCTACATAATTACAAGCCATTTAAGATCACCTAAACGGTGTCCAATGGCCATGCAAAATGCTTCAAAAAAAAAACACATACTCGTACCTGAACGAAGAAGAAAGAAGATTTATCAAAGGAACAAGAAAGAAATTGGGGAGGGGGGACCCTGTCGTTCCCCAGTGGCTTTTCGTACAGAACAGGTGTCTGTCTTGCTTTTCGTCTCTGCTGTGTATCTTCTCTTTCGATCTCCGTGGAAGCTTGATTTGCTTTCAGTTAATTCTTCCTTTTTAGCCTTTTTACTAGTATTTTTCTTGTATTGATCTGGCCCTATTTTTGGTTGGAAAAACCATGCAGTGTGGGGAAAATAGAATAGAAAATATCAGTTTTTCAACTCAGAAACTTGTTCCACTTCCCTCCTAAATGATCGTTTGTTTTCACACTTGGAACAAAGGATACCTCACACACAGAAAAGAAGAAAAAGTTGATGCACGATTACTGACCCATCATTAGTTACCAAACTCATGAAAACGGTAATGGGGTAACAAAAATATTAATTTAACATGTGGAAAATATTACAACAAAAGAGCAAGCTCGTGTCATGTAAAACATAATTATTTTTTTTTTGGATAAAGTGCACAAATGGTCTCACACTATATGATACTACATTATTAAGCCCCTTAACTATTAAAAGTTAAGGAATTACTTTGTCGAGTCTATCGACTATTAAAAGTTACAAAATGATCACTCGACTATTTATTATTTTTCAAATTAGCCCCTTTTCGTTAAAAAATTAATGATCTTTTGAGTTGGACTTCAACATGAGGTATGATACAAGTTTGAGATTATATATGAGATCAGATTTTATCATATCTCAATTAGTAAGTTAACATACAACTCAGACTATCATCAAATTTTTAACGGAAAAGAACGAGTTTAGAACATAATGAATAGTCAAGTGACAATTTTGTAACTTTTAATAGTCAAAGAACTAAACAAAACAACTCTTTATAATTAGAGGATCATTTTAAAACTTTTAATAGTCCATAGACTTAATAAAATAATATCATATAATCGGAGAAACCATTTGTACACTTTACCCTTATTTTTTATTGTTCACGATGTAACCTAAGCTCGTCATAAAAAGTTTGCCAACTCACCTGAACATCATTGTACGAATAAGATAAATCTCAGTTAATGCTGAATAAATTTCTCTATCGTCGTATTTCTTGTATACAATGTTATCAGGTGTATCACTAATTCATTAATAAGAAGAGAAAAAATGTTAATGATTATTGGATTTATAGTAAAATAAGTTTTGAATTGTTCATATTGAAAGAGCTAATATTCATTTTTAATTTTTTTAAAATTATTATATATTTTAAACATTTTATTATATTTTTTATTGATAATTTATTTTCAACTCCCCTTTAAGATTTTAAAATTTATCCTCTAACGTAAAATCTTACGTTTATCTCTAATATTCCCATGTTAGTATAATAACATCATACTTCCTTTAGATTACTAACTATATTATTGGATTTATAGTTAATTCAATAACAATACCTAAACTATACGGAAGTTGAAAATGAACATGAATAATTTTCTTGATTTTTTTTTGTCTACATCATTTAGGAGATTGTGAAATTTTTTATAATCACCCTATTATATAAAAAAACATTTTTATAAGATAATTTAATTTTCAGCGCTTCATATATATATATATAATGAATTAGCTAATATTTAAGAAGTGGATTTGGTTTTTCTCTACTTGGCTACGCCTTCGACTTTTCCCATCACTTTGTTAAATAGAGACTGCGTGTCGGGATATACAGTAGTTTTAATATAGATTAAGAAAAGATATTATCAAAAATATTATTATCTTTTTAATTGGTAAAACGTTATTTAAAATATTATTTTATTTATCGGAAATATTAATACTGAACGCTACTTAAAGTATTTAACATTTTCAGTAAAGCGCTGCCTAAAATATTATTTTTTTCTACCGAAAATATTAATATTGAGTTCTACCGAAAATTATTTAACGAAAAATAATATTTTCAGAAAAAAAATAATACATTAAATAGTGTTTTACTAAAAATATTAAAAAAATAATAATATTTTTGATAAGATATTTTTTTAATTATATATTAAAGTTGTCATACAGTAACTATATACATGTCGGAGCCAAGAAACGGCGGCTATATTCGTCAGTGATCACCACAACCTAAATTTTTAATCACCGTTGGATTCAAAGTACACCACATGTCACCTTATTTATTAGTAAGTGTGCAATTTGATCATCGTATTTTGAAACGTTATAATAAAGTCACTCAATTAGAAAATCATTTTTTGGATAAATTTACATTTTTTGATCATCGTATTTTGAAACGTTATAATAAAGTCACTCAATTAGAAAATCATTTTTTGGATAAATTTACATTTTGATCACCCACTATGAATAAATTTATATTTTAATCATTAAACTTTCAATTATGAGTAAAATGTTTTTATAAGTTAGTGTAAGATTAATTCCTCATTTTCTTATTTATGGACACAATTTATTTTTTATTTATAGATTCATGAAATATAAAATTATCGTAAAAATTTTGTCCAATAAAAACATAAAGACAATGAAGAATAGATCTTGCACCAATTTGCACACAACTCAAATTTGAGTGATCAAAATATAAGCTTACTCATAAATGAATATTCAAAATTTAAATAAACAATTAGTTTCCATTTGATATTGAATCACATAGTGATATGATTATTACGATTGGTTAATGTGACGACTCGATCGTAACTTTTTTAAATTCAGTGATATAATAGTAAACTTACTAATAATAAAGTGGCTTTCAGTATATTTTTCCCCATACTGTCAGTTGACCCACACAATAATAACCAAAGGCTCTCAGTCATCACAGGCGTCACAGGCGTGTGAGACAGCTCCCGTGACTCGATAAACTGTCTGAGGTAGAGAGAGAGCTTTAAAGCCATCGACTGTTCTTTTTCTTTCTTTCTTTTAATTTGCATACAGATTAAGTCCAAAATCAAACGTAAGAAACTTTCTTCTTTGCGAAGACTTCCATTATCATAGTCCAAGACAAGAGAAAAATGAAAAAGAACAGCTTCTTTATTGGCGAGTTTTGCTTTCCTGATATGAAAGATTTTATTCTTCTTCATCATCTCTTGCTTTTCAGGGTTTTTTGAGTGTTGGATTGTCAGCTAGAGCAAAAAAGTGGCTTCTTTTTTCTCATCGAGACGATCATGTCATCTTGGTCACCTTTAAAGCTTTTTCTGAACCATTGTTTCCTTTTCTCCTTGCTTCTCTATGGTATAGCTGCAAAACTACTATTTTGACCCCTTGAATTCTAACTTGGAGTTGAAGGAAAGAATTCAGTTTATATTACTTCTAAAAGTAAAAGTTGGCTTTTCTGACTGTTGTGCAAGTGAGAGTCACTGTTCTTCTGGTGGCTAAACCATATCTTCTCTGAAGCACTTACTTCTTTTAGACATAAGTATTTGGCTCCGGTTGTTCAAGTTGTGTCTATCAGGTGTTTGTCGTATAGCTTCTTCAAGAATACACATACAGAAAAAGAAGAAGGAACTTCTCTTTCATCATTGTTCTAGGTGAGTTTTCTCTTCCCCTTCCCTCTTAATCTGCTTCCCAGTTTTCATATCTTGTTTTCCTCTTCAAAATCAATATTTTCAAAGAAATTCTTTATGGAAGAAAATCCAAAAGCACACTTGATATTTATTCATCATGATTAAGCCTGCTGATACGTAATATGGACAACTTTTTCTTTTTGGAGGGTGGGTGGGGTACATACAAAAAGCTTGGTTAATAATTTTTTTTTGGTAGGTCTGTCTTATTTGACTGAAGTTTCACGGTAAAGCTACCCTTAGAAATGTTGGCACAACCAATATGGCAAACCCTTTTCATCTTTTTTTTCTTCTGAGAATTATACCATTATGCTAAGTACTTTTCTGTTTCTTTAACCAGGAAACTATCTTTTGTATGGAGACTGAATCTGCCGAAATAGTGGAAGTAGTCGAGACTTTGCCGAATCCTATCTCCTTTAAGGTACAATTCGTGTCTCCTGAGTGTCTGATATTCATCCAACATGAGTATGTTAACTACTGCAATGATCAGTAGGATTCGGATTAATCTAATCAGAGTTTTATGATCAAATCAAGTCGGATTAGATTTGAACATATCGATAATGATTCATACTTGATGGCTGAGCTACGCTAAAATGCTTTACAAAATATGAGAAATCTTCTGCATTTGTATTTGTTCAAGGAAGTAGCATGAATCCTTTATTGTTCTGTCTCAAACCTTGATGACTGTAGGTGCATGGCATGATGTGCACCGAGCTTAGGACGTTTGTTGATAGAATTGTAAAGATATTTCCGGAAATCGAAGAAGCTCGACCGAGATGCTCCGTGGTAATAAAGGCTCTATGCTCATTGAATGGTGTGATCGAGAGAGCAAAGTTACTTCTTCAGTACTGCAGTGAATCCAGCAAACTATACCTGGTATGTTTTTTGTGATTAATTACTTTCGTGATTGTAAAATATACCTTTTGGTTGATTTCTCTGCAATTACTTTCAGGCAATAACGACCGATGCCATAGTCTCGAGATGCCGAAAAATGAAGAATTTGTTTGAACAATGTTTATGCCAAATTCAGGGTATGGTTCCGGTTATGCTGGTTGATGAGGTTTGTCAGATTACATTTCTTATTAATCTTCTATTTGCCCTTCTTTCACCGACAATTTCTTGTATTTTCATTATTCTATTCTCTCAAACAAATAGCCAACATGATGAGTAGCCTTACTGTCAAAAAAATTATTTTAGTTTTTAGATGACTTCCTTTCATGATACCCCTGTTGTGTCTTCAAGCTGATATCGAAATGTTACTGCAGATCTCTCGAATTGTCGATGATCTAGGAGCTGCAAATTTTGTCCCTGATAAATTTGAGGAAGAGGCAGGGAAAGTTGTACGCGAATTACTCCAGCGAGGAGCTGCGGCATTGGATTCAATGGAGCATACCGAAATGAAAGCTCTTCAAACTGCAGCATCAAGACTTCATATTACATCTCCAAAGGCCATCTTGATAGAGAAAAGATCTATAAAGAAGTTGCTCGAAAAAGCCAGTGAAAGTGATCAACAAAAGAAAAAGATCTTGAAATATCTTCTATACCTGTTGAGGAAGTATGCTAACTTGATTATTGGATCGCAAACAGACAACTCTAGTGATCAGAATGAAGGAGCCTTTGCGGTGCATACTCACTCCGCTTATGCCGAATCTCATACCGAGTATGGGCAGTATGATCCTCAAGCGGAAACGTTAAATCGAGCTATAATACCCCCTGAGGAATTTAAGTGTCCCATATCTTCGAGATTGATGTATGATCCTGTTGTCATTGCTTCTGGACAAACATTTGAGAGGACTTGGATCCAGAAATGGTTTGATGATGGTAATGACACATGCCCTAAAACCGAGATGAAACTGGACCATCTTTTGTTGACCCCAAATGTTTCCATGAAGGATCTGATCACAAAATGGTGTAGGAAATATGGAATCACCATTCAGGACCCAAGCATGCAACCAGACGAGCTTTGTTCATTGGAAAATTTCTTCCACTTCCATAGCTAGTTTCGGCAGTTCTATGAATGATCTTCGCTTTCCATTAGACATTAGCAGTATGTCACTTGGATCTTTAGATACTAGTTATACTTCAGATGGATCTCGGAACAGGATTGAAGTTGGCTCGAGTTCAATGCCTGAGCAGACCAGAGAAGATCTTAGGCGATATCAATCTCTCAGAAAAACAAGTGTGAACAATTTGGAGTGTCTTTCTGGCCTTGCCGAGCTTGATCGAGAAACACAATACAAGATGGTTCAAGACATGACAAACCATTTCAAATGTGGTGATCTAGATTGTCTTTCTTTGTCGTCCAAGAATTTCACTGAACCTCTGATTAAGTTTTTGAGCAGTGCTAATGCTTTGCATGATATAAGAGCACAGAGAGCTGTTGCGGATCTAAGATATCTGCATCCGGTGCTCTTATTTCCATGTTAAACATTCTCGATTCGAACATCAAAGATTACCAGGAACAGATACTCAAAATTTTGCGTAATCTGTCCTCAAGCACCAATATTTGTTCCGATTTGGTGTCTTTAGAGTGTTTACCGAAACTTGCTCCATACTTACAAGACACCACACTTGCAAGGCAATGCATTGTCGTGTTAAGAAACTTGTGCAGTAACCAAGAAGCTAGGACTTGGATCGCTCGAACATCAGGCTGCATTGCTTCTATTGCCGCGGTACTCGAGATGGGCAGCCACGAGGACCAAGAGCATGCGGTGGCTATTCTCCTTATGTTGTGCTCACAGAGTATTGAATACTGTCGCTTGGTGATGGATGAGTGTTGTATATTTCCTCTCCTTTTCGATTTATCGGTTAACGGAAGTGAAAAAGGAAAGACAAGTGCAATGGAATTGCTTCGGCTCCTTCGGGATACCAAACATGACAATGGTGATGATGATGAACAACACAAATGCTCTAACTCCAACAACATCAAATCCAAAGATGATAAAGACTATTCCAGAGACAAGAAGTCTCGTAAAACATTGTTTGGAGTGAAATTACCTGCGTTCGCAAGATCCACTGCACCTAAAAAGCAGAAATGAAACTGGGATTTTACTATGTCAATATTATGGTTGGCAAATCTTTACCCGGTGAGATGTTTCTCTTCCAGGGAGAGATTTGCTTTCTGGGATTTGGCAACGCCATCAACATTCTGTATCTGAAAATATAGACAAATTGCTGTTAATTTAGTTTTGATTCTAATTAAGATTCCCAAACAAAATATGTCAGATTGCATGATGCACTGAAAAGCTAAGAATCAACCAGCAAAGTTCGTACAAGAAAAGCTTCCATCCGAATACAAACGCTAGTACCGAAATACAAGAAGCATTACAGGAGAAAGTTGTACATCTCTCACCTACAAGCTACCATTTTACAGGCTGTTTTTCTGATCTGCGATAGAGCTGATGATTCGAATCCGTGGCAACACCAATGATACGGATCTCCAATCATTCACAAGCTGGTTTGGTGTCAAAGCTGCTAAGACAGATTGCAAAGGCTTGGAAAGCGGATAGGGGGTATCGATAATCCATGGTGAAGATGTCCTTGCCAATTTTTCCAAACTGTAAGATTACCTTCTCTTGGTTTTCAGGTGATACATTAGGTGCAGGCTCAACAGCTGCAACAAGCTGGAAATTCTTAACAGAGGCCACCGTCACACGACCCCTGAAATTGTGGCACCAGCACTGTAACTGTTCATGCCATCTAGGAGCCTTGTTTTTAAGGGTTAACGGCTCTCCTGAGCCCTGGGAAAATAAAGGTGTGACTGCCAGGCTTGGGGAGCCAGTCTCTATCAGTTTTGAACTAGGTAAGGGAGAAAGATGGTCGTCGAAGGATTGCTGCAATGCCAAAGGTGTTGGGGCAGTGCCTCCTTCCTGAACAGCAGATGCAGGAATTGAATACAAAATGCAATGCATTCTCCTCGGTCCTCGGGTTCGCAGAACATTGAGCTCATAGGTAATGGTACCTATGCTATAGTTGCATGCAGGTAATCTCGGGGACACCTGCTTAGAGTGGAATCTCCAATGGGTAGTCGATGGGATCATTGAGTCGTACGGAGGTTGACTGTCATATATGGTGAACTTGGTACCCAAAAAGTTCGACCTGAAAGGGAACTCAATATGCCATCATCGGCATCAAGCTAGTGTAATCAAGGAAGCATAAGATATCAAATTGCAAGACTTACCTTAGTTTACCGACATACGAATAGCTGGCCCTAGCAAAATCATCGGCAGCCAAAGTTACAACGAAGTCTGTGCATGTTGCCCTTCTGACTTTTCTCGCTGACAAAAGCAATTTATGACTCTCTCCTTCGGCTGTAATCAAAGCAGCAACACAAGTTAACACATGCAAAAGAGAGAGCAAGCTTCATATCATTCGTACGTGAAGGGTCTTGAAAAGGGTAATATCATAGCCCCATACCCATGTCTGAATATATCTCGGATATTAATGCTTCAAGAAAAATGATAAATCAATAACTAGTTTACAAGAAATACAAAAGGACATATAAACGAGACTACTTACACGGTACCAGACCAAAGTACAAAAGATAAGTAGAAGTTGCCCTGTCCCTTCTAATATAGCATTGTATCGGAGACTCACGAGGACCAGGCTGTTCATAAGCACAAACAGAAGATATAAATATTTAAGAGGAGAAACAAGAAAACAGCCACTACCATTAATTATACAGACACGAGAGTTATTGTTGAATGCCGTTTTCATGACGGAAATGCCACGACAAGACATTGAATTACCAACAATCAGAAAGTTCTTGACAGACGCATGTTTTCGATGGTCTTGTAGGAAGAATGGTAAATGAACCTACAAGCAATAAAGGAATGCCAGCTCTTCATTGCTCTAATTCTCAAGTCTGCATATATTTGATAGAGCTCTTCATTGCTACTCTGGTATTTGCCGACTCAAACCAGAGCACACCAAGGAATATGTTATAGATTAAAAGAAAGAGTAGTCACGAGAGAGGAGAATTTAGAGAAGAGATAGTAGAAAGGAATTCATCATTCATTGCATAAAAGAGAAATGTTGATTACAAAACAATTTTTATTTAGTTACAAGCTGGTATAGAGAATCTACTAATGCCAGCTGGCATTCTATGCTAACAAACTGATTATATCATTCTTTGGCTGTTATAGGTATTGGGCCATTCTGCTTGGGCCACACCACATTGCCCTGGGATATCTTCGGCCCGCTTATTCCCTCATCAGGTAACTTTAATCCCTTTTCTCCTCGTGCTTCAATTCTTTCTTTCATTTCAATTCCCAAATTACTCTCCATAATCCCTAACCCTCGTTCCTCTCTTACCAATTCTTCCTCATTCCTTCATTCTTCCTCTTCTCTTCCGATTTCTTCCTCTTCTCCTCTGATTCTGACAATACCCACCCCACGAGATGAGCCTTGTCTCCAAGGATCAAAATCAGGAAACTGACCCCTGAGAACTGAATAGTCCTCCCATGTATCATTCAAGTCATCCATATTCGTCCATCGAACCAAAAGTTGAGTGACTGGTCGATTGTGTCGATTTATTATACGCCTTCCCATAATCTTCAAAGGTTTAATGCTTAACTGTCCTTCTTCATCAACTGCAGGAGGATCAGTGGTAGCAGTAGCATAATCCCCGATGAATTTCTTCAAAAGACTCACATGGAACACTGGGTGGAGCTTCGAAGAATTTGGTAAGTCCAGTTTATACGCCACCTCTTCTATTTTTTCCAAAATTGTATATGGACCATAATACTTAGCTACTAACTTGAGGTTTTTTCGCAGAGCAAGCGAGGTTTGTCTATAAGGCTGCAGTTTCAAGTAAACCCTATCTCCAACAATAAAAATCCTTTTAGACCTTTTCTTATCTGCATGTTGCTTCATCCGATTACTAGCCATTTCTAACTGCTGTTTCACTAATTGTCTGATTTGCTCTCTGCTTGTAGTAATATTTTGTACTGCTTGTAGTGTAGTATCAGTAGACCAAACCATAATAGGTGGTTTGTATCCATATAAAGCTTGAAAAGGAGTAAGCTTAATAGTAGTGTGATAAGTGGTATTGTACCACCACTCTGACTGAGATAGCCATGTAGCCCATTTCTTAGGTTGATAGAAACAAAAACCCCTTAAATACTGCTCCAAACATTGATTAACTCTTTCTGTTTGACCATCTGTCTCTGGATAGTAAGCAGTGCTGAAAACTGTCTGAGTACCCAACTGTTTCATCAACTCCTTCCAAAAAGAACTGGTAAAAGTCTTATCTCTATCTGAAATGGCCATCTTAGGATGGCCATGTAACTTGTAAACATTATCTAAATACAATTTAGCAACCTCTGCTGAATAGGGATAAGATAGGGCCAGAAAATGACTATACTTTGTAAATTTATCCACTATAACCAGAATGCAATTCTTCTTAAATGAGGTAGGTAGACCCTTTATGAAATCCATAGTAATGACCTCCCAAGCTTGACTAGGGACAGGCAAAGGTTGTAATAAACCCGGCTTAGAAATATGCTCCACCTTTGTTTGTTGACAAACTGTGCAACACCTTACATAAGCAGTAACCATAGGTTTAAGTTTAGGCCAATAAAAATTAGACCTAACCCTGTAATAAGTAGCCTGTACTCCTGAATGACCTCCCTGTGGAGAGTCATGTAAGGTTTGAATAATTTTCAACCTAAGACTTCCATGAGCCCCAATATAGATTCTGTCATTGTATCTAAGAACAGATTTAGAAAATTTCCATTTACTATCTTTAGTAGGATTTATAGCCAAAATTGAAATCCAATTCTGAGCTAAAGTATCACCTTGATAACTCTCCTCTACTTCCTGCACCCAAGTAGGAATCAAAACAGTCACTCCTAAAGCAAAACACTAGGCTTGGTCTTCCCATCTTCTAGATAAAGCATCAACAACAACATTCAGTTTCCCCTTTCTATAATGTATAGTATAGTCCAAACCCAAAAGCTTTGTTAATCCCTTCTTCTGAATAGTGGTAGTCAATTTTTGTTCTAGCAGAAACTTCAAAGGCTCATGATCAATTTTAATAACAAAGCGTCTACTCTCCAAATAATGTCTCCACTTAGAAACAGCCAAGAGAATAGCAAGATATTCTCTTTCATAAATATAAAGAGCTAAATGTATAGGGCTTAGAGCCTTACTCAAATAAGCAATAGGTCTACCTTCCTGTGAAATGACAACCCCAATACCTCCAGAACTTGCATATATTTCCAGATAAAAAGTTTTAGAAAAATCAGGCAATGCTAAAACTGAAGCAGAACACATAGCTCTTTTATGGGCTTCAAAAGCAATACAAGCATCATAATTCCACTGAAACCCATCCTTCTTTAAAAGCTTTGTTAAAGGTCTACTAATAATACCATAATTTCTGATAAACCTCCTGTAATACCCTGTTAATCCAAGAAATCCCCTCAAATATTTAATGGTTTTGGGTCTTGGCCAATTCTTCATTACTTCTACCTTGCTAGGGTCAGTAAACACCCCTGCAGCAGAAATAATGTGCCCTAAATACTCCACCTGCTGCTATCCAAAAAAACACTTGGACAATTTTGCAAATAATTGATTAACTTGTAAAACTTCTAAAACCAGTTGCAAATGCCTCATATGATCCTCCATACTTCTGCTGCAAACCAAAATGTCATCAAAGAAACCAAAACAAATTTCCTAAGGAAGGAATTAAATAAATCATTCATAAGAGCCTGAAATGTAGCAGGAGCATTAGTTAGGCCAAAAGGCATCACCTTAAATTCATAATGGCCTTGATGTGTTCTGAAAGCTGTCTTATAAATATCTTCTTGTCTGATTCTAATCTGTCAGTATCTAGACCTCAAATCAATCTTAGAAAAATAGACTGCCCCATGCAGCTCATCCAATAAATCCTACACTGTAGGAATAGGAAATTTATCTTTGATTGTCATACTATTTAAATGTCTATAATCCACACAAAATCTCCAAGTGCCATCCTTGTTTTTAATAAAAAGGCAGGGTGATGCAAAAGGACTTTTGCTAGGCTGAATAACAGAAGAAGAAAACATACTGGCATTCTGTTTTTCCACCTCAACTTTCTGATTACGAGGAAACCTGTAAGGTCTTAGATTAACAGGTGTAACATTAGGCTTTAGAGGAATAACATGGTCATGAGTCCTCTGAGGTGGTAATCCTTCTGGTTCAGCAAAAACACAGTTGTACTTGTCCAATAATTGTTGTATTTCAGTAGGAATAGGAGGAGAATTCCCTGACATGGTCAATAAAACAATGTGACCCAAAATACATGAATCCCAAGCAGTCATTTTAAGTAAGGTAGCCATAGAAATCTGCTGTAATTCTGATGAAGGTTGTTGTCCTTGAATACATATCTTTTCTCCTTGATGGTCAAAACTCAAGGTCATATTATTGAAATCCATCAATATAGGGCTAAATAATTTCATCCAATCAACTCCCAATACCATATCACTACCACCCAATTTAAGCAATCTGAAATCATGTACAAAAGTGTATCCCTGCATTTGCCATTCAACCTTGTTGCATCTAGCAGAACTAAATAATTGTTGGCCATTAGCCACAGTGATGGCCAAAGGATAATGGGTAGTAACTTGTATGCCATCATCAGCCCATTTTAGAGTCAAAAAACTATGTGTACTCCCACTATCAATTAAGATATTCAATGATCTGCTCTGAATAGATCCTTGAATTCTCAATGTACTATGTCCAATAGAGCCTGTAATCGCATTCATATAAATTTCTAGAGTTTCCTCTTCTGCTTGTAGAGACTATTTTGAATCAGTAGGAAAAAAATCCAATGATGGATTTTTAGAATCTTCAGTAATCATATTCAGCTGTCTGTTCTTACATTGATGACCTGGAATAAATTTATCACCACACTTAAACAAATATTATTCTGTCTCCTGTAACCCATAAGATTTTGCCTTGGGTTTTGTACTGCTGTAGGTTTTGAATTAACTGGCAGTGAAGCATGTTTAGAACTAATAATGGGGCTTGGGTAGGGTGGGGATTTAAAAATAGGCCTCAACCTTTTATTTTCAAACTCAATAGATAACTCATAAAGTTTTGCCTGTTTACATGCTTCAGACAAATTCTTAGGATCCAAAGCCTTGACCCTATGTTTGATATCATCTCTTAGCCCACTAATAAAAAGTGAGACAAAAAATTCCTCAGTTAAAGTGGGGTTTTGTAACAACATATAAGGTTGTAATTCCTCAAATCTTTCTTGATAATCCTCAACTGACCCCTTTTGAGTCAATTTAGTGAACTCTTCCACAATATCACAAAAAGATCTATCACTGAATCTGTGACATATATCAGCTTCAAATTCATGCCATGTTACATGGTGCTTTTGCATTATATATCCATCAAACCATATTTCTACTTTGCCTGTCAAATACATAGTAGCTACCTCTACTATTTGCTCAACAGGAACACTACAAATATAGAAATATTTCAAGCATTTTTGAATCCATCCTCTAGGATTAACCCCATAAAAAATTGGCACTTTTATCTTAGGTCTGTGCCACATAGTTCCTGAACTGGTAAATAAACCCCATGGCCCCCTTTTTTCAGTTTCCCGTCCAAACATATTAGGTCTAGAATCACTGTTTTCACCCTCTTGATTTTCAGGCATAAAACTATTCTTAAGAGCTAAACAAGCATCATGTTTAGTCTTTAATATCCCAGGTTCATCCAGTTTATAAGTAAATCTAGACTTGTCATTCACTACAGTCACCAAAAACAAGATTCTTTTCCTTATTTTTAGAAGTATCAGGAGATTGTACCTGTTCATCAATAGAATGCTCCTTCTCCTCTGTCCTGCCTGTCAAAATTCTAAGCAGTTTCTCAACATAACCTTGATTAGTAGCCATTCTGGACTCCAAAGCAGTGATTCTATTCTCCTGATTTTCCCACCATTTAGGTGGATCAGTTTCATCCTGGCTTTTCTTCACCAACGCAGCTAGATCTTCAATTTGTTTTTTGAATCCCAGACAAATCAATTTCTACCATAACTTGATTCTTCTTTGGCATACCCACTCAACTTTTGCCAGAATCGAGGTTCTGATTACCAATTGTTATAGATTAAAAGAAAGAGTAGTCATGAGAGAGAAGAATTTAGAGAAGAGATAGTAGAAAGGAATTCATCATTCATTGCATAAAAGAGAAATGTTGATTACACAACAGTTTTTATTTAGTTACAAGCTGGTATAGAGAATCTACTAATGCCAGATGGCATTCTATGCTAACAAACTGTCTAACAAACTTATTATATCATTCTTTGGTTGTTACAGGTACTGTGCCATTCTGCTTGGGCCACTCCACATTGCCCTGGGATATCTTCGGCCCGCTTATTCCTTCATCAGGTAACTTTAATCCATTTGCTCCTCGTGCTTCAATTCCTTCTTTCATTTCAATTCCCAAATTACTCTCCATAATCCCTAACCCTCGTTCATCTCTTCCTAATTCCTCCTAATTCCTTCGTTTTTCCTCTTCTCTTCCGATTTCTTCATCTTCTCCTCCGATTCTGACAGAATACCAGCTCTGGTTTACTCCAAACTTTATTCAACCTCTTGCAGTTTCATTTACCCTTTCATTGAAATAGACCGAAACACGTATACAATTACCTCCCCTTGATGTAAAATTAGCTAAAATCTGAATAGTTTGGGATCAAAATAGCAAATTTTCAATAAGAAAAGAGTAGAACCTGCTTCAATGAGATCGGAAATGTTAGCCTTCCGCATTGCTCAGGAGTCTTCACAATCTCCTTTGTAATTTCCCTCCAAGACCTACAAACTGCAGAACAATAAACAACAGCAGCTCGAGCAGACCAAGCTGTTTCCCTCTCTTCCACCCTATGGATGATATCTAAGAGCAACTCGGGCGGCAGATTCGCCCAAGGGCATTGCTTGACGCATTCGGATTCCGCCGGAGGCTGATCCGAAACTACATGGGATCGAGTTCGGCTACGCCAAAGCTTGCTCTCCCCACCTCTCTTTGATATGTTCCCAATACCATCTTTCATTTCCTTAAACTCTCGCATCATACTCTTAAGAGACATATTTTTATAAGCATACCAAATCCTCTCTAAATATTCAATTGCAAATATATAACATGAAAAACACCAAAAAGGCAAAAACAATAAACTTTTGTCAATTATTTACATCTCAACTCAATTAAAAGCAAATTCCTATGAAATTGAACTCCATAGATCAAATTCTTCACACTTTAATAACAAATTAACAATTAATACCCATAAACTAAAAGAGGGGAAACCCAAAGATTAAAATCTTCAAACTTTAATAACAATTAATACCCATAAACTAAAAGAGGGAAAACCCAAAGATCAAACAACCAATAATGACATAAGAACACACGAAAATGAATTCCTTTTCACCTAAACTAAAAGCTAGAGAATAAAGATATGTGGAAAAAACAGTTCTAAACCCACTGGTTCAAATCAACCGAAAACAGAACCAGCTCAGATGCATCCCCACACGACCCACAGTTTAATTAATACCACAAACTAATATGAAAAACCAGTTAACAGTGAAAGAAATTATTAAAAATGCCTTTCTGGTGAGGGAAAAAATACCAACTTTCTATTTTTATGAGCGGGAATCTTAGATGTCCACGTCAGTGCTAACCCCTACGCCACTGCCTCAACCACCGTCAGCGCCGCCATTCTAACAGCCAAGCACCCACACTGAGGATGATATTTGGGTCTTATCACCAGCACTAAGGATTTTTGTGAGTTAAAAAAAAGAGAATGATTGATGATTAAGAACGTGGCAATCAACTAACCAGTACTTCCGGGGATACATCTTTATTTACCCATCTGAATAATATTTGATGGGATTTTGGGACATCCTTTGAAATGCCTTTCAAATCAATTTCTCCTTTAATTTACAAAATTATAAAAGGGTTTTCTATCATGCCATTCCACTCAAAAATCACCAAACAATCAATAATTACTTGTCAAGTATGTTTTTTTCAAATATAACCGATCTAGCATCTATTCTGACAGAGTGATAATAAAGCGTGTTTCAGGATATGAGCTATGCAGACGTAGACATAAGGCGCAAATCATGAAGTGCGCATTTAATGATTCCCCTCAATTATTACCCATTTTATTATTACCGTAACTGTCTTAAATCTCAGACGATCCATTCCCGATAAATACCCCGAATTCAAATATCAAATCACACCAAAATTATATTCACAATTTTCATTTTATAAATTCCTTCTATCAAGTAGATTTTGTTATAGTTTTTAGAAGATAAAATTATTTTTTATTATATTATATTTATTTCATATTTAATTTATTTGACCAAATTTTATTGTACTAATTATTTTTATTATTTTTTGAGGTTGTAAAATAGAAGGAGAGATCATATCTCGAGATATTTTGCCGATACGGTAACAATATTAAATTGGGTTATTTAAATTATTGTGAATATTTTTTATTTTTTTAGTATTAGCTTATATTTTAATTCGTATATTATTTATTTAATTAGCAGAATGATCATATATTAGAAACAATTATTCGTTTTTGCAAATATAAAACTTTCAATCTTTCAAACTCTCAAAATAGGGTGTATTTTAGCTATTGTTTACTATGATGGAGAAATTCGGGAAGATGAAATTGGCGTTATCTTCACATCAAATTATTTTGTCACCTTATCCTTCAAGAGAAACATCACTCTTGAGAAGCTGATCACTAAAATTTCAAGGAAGGTTCATGTTGGAAGTACTAGAAGACTACAGTACAGATTTTCAACTGCATTATTTTCGTTAACTTATACAACGTTCGAACTTTCTAACGATGAAGATGTTGCTATGATGGTTTATGCTCAGAATCAAAATTCAAACGTTGTTACACAAATGTATGGGTTGGCTTAACAAGTTGATCAAGTTGACCGCCCAAATCAAGTATTGCATAATGATTTTAACTTGTTAATGGGAAATCCATGTTCTGATACCATCTCATCAAGTTCAATGGGGAGATATTCGTCAACAACTTGTTACGATCTCTACCGAGGTGGCTCTACGAATAATCTGTATGGAAACATCGCTTCCAGTTCAAGGGAATGCATTCATATGCCATTTTTTTACCTTAATATGAAGATGCCCTTGACACAACAATCTGTTTAGTACCCATTTGACACGATAACTTCAAGTTCTAGGAGGAGGCATTCAACTGCGAGATATTTCGACCTCAATATGGAGATGTATGCGACATATCACTCAGTTCAAAGTCTGTTTAACATGATACCTTCAAGTTGAAGGGGAAGACATTCAACTACCAGCTTGTTCGACCTAAATATCGGTATCACAGATGAACCCTCATCTCAACCATAATAACCTCTTCGTGAGTCAGGTGCTGAGATTAGACAATTTTTAGAGCTAGAATCACCACAGTTCAATATGGACTACGATGATGATGATGTATATGAAGTTTCCACGAATATGGTACACACCAAACCTCCAACACATATGTATGAAGCTAACTATGATGCAATGTACGTGCTAGAATTTATTGATATGCCTAATGTTGGTGACAACCGATTTAACTCATCAGTCAATGATGGTGAGTTATATACCGAAATAAAGTTTCCATCCAAAGAAGAATCCATGATTGCAATTAAGAATTACAACATTTGTAATTTTGGTCACTCCAAAGTCGACCGAATCCACCATCGAAAAGTATGTATGTCACTGTGTCTAACGTGATAACAGATGTAACTGGATGGTTTGTGTATCGAAGAGGAATAAGAAAAACACCATATGAAAACAACATTATACAACGGCCCTCATACATGTTGTGCTAGAGGGATCAACCAGAACTATCCCAACTTGGACTCCGATATTATCTACCAAGCTATCATGCCCATGGTCAAAGCAAGCTCTCATATAACTATTGTGGTGTTGATTCAGCTATATGGTCTCAATATGGGTACATTGTCTCCTATAGGAAAGCATGGAAGGAAAAGCATAATGTCATTAAAAAACTTCATGGCGAGTGGGATTCATCTTACAACGAACTACCAAATTGGTTTAGGATAGTGCACAGACTGAATCCTGGGATAATATTCGACTTCAAAACTTGCCATGCATACCACTATGATCGAGTACTTCTCGATCGATATCAACTTTACTAGCTTTTTTGGACTTACCCACAGTGCATTAATGTTGTGAAATACTGCAAGCCCGTGGTCCAAATTGATGGGACATTCTTGTATGGAAAATATAAGCAAATTTTACTATTGGTAGTTGACCAAGATGGTAATTGCAACATTCTTCCAGTTGCTTTTGCCCTTGTTGAAGGTGAATATACATATTCTTGTGTTTTTTTTCCTCAAAAACTTACGCTTACATGTTGTCACGAGAGAAAATTTGCATTATTTCAAACCGCGGAGCTGGGATCAAAGCAACAATGGACTCTTTGGGTTCAATGTGGCAATCACCCCGTGTCCAACATCGGTATTGTATCTGACATATTACCACGAACTATCATGAAAATTTTAAGAAGAATGATGAATGTCAATTACTTGTGTGCATGGGTATGCCACAATGCCTAAATTTATTTCTCAATCATTTTCAATTTTTTATGGGAACTTAATAATAAGTACTACATTTGACATGCATAATACAAACTATTACCTTAAAGGTTTGAGTCTATGCTTCAAGATTTGTGAGTAAAAATTGAGCAATGATACAATTACATTAGGTTAATCAACAAAAAAATATGGATAAATGCATACGATGGTGGATATTGATATGAACATATGACAACCAAATTGGCTAAGTCTATTAATTCGACCTTAAAGGGGGCACCATTTACCAGTAACAACTTTGGTTAAAATGATGTATTTTCGTTTGGGAGCACTTTTGCCAAGCTCTGGTGATAAGCTCAAACATTGATGAAAAACGGTCATGTTTATCACCCAAAATTAGTTGCAGGTCTAAAAAAAAGGATTACTGAATCAAATAGAATATCTGTAACAAGCTTCTCTTGAACCCAATAATTATTTCGTGTCACAGAAATACCACGACCTCTTCAAGGGATTGAAGGTAACTCGTTTAGAGTTAATCTACAAGACATGTGGTATGACTGTGGGTTTTTTTCAAGTTCTAAAGTATCCATGCTCTTATGTCATAACAGCTTGCTCTTATACCCGTCAAGAATATAACAATTTTGTGGATCCCGTATACCGACTTACAATCATATTTTAGGTATATGAATTTGAGTTCCCCCGATAGGTAATAAAAAATACCCAGATAAGGTTCAGAATTGACTTTCAATTGTACCAGATATGTCCTTATTTAGAGAGGCAAGTCGTCCAAAATCCACTCAAATTCATTGTGATATGGATATTTGAGATACATTAAAAGAAAACAAAAGATGTGGGCATTGTAGAAATCTAGGCCAAAATAGGAAAAATTGTCCATCTCTTTTATCATCACGTAACCGTTGAGCATCACAATGTAATTGTAGTTTCTGAAATATCAGCTTGTGTTATTTCATTTTCGTTTACTTTCAATTAATGTCATTTGAGCATCAACAAGTAATAGGCTATGCAAGTGAAAATTAAATAAAAACTTTACAAACTAAATAGTAAAAACAATTTAAACAATTAAATAAAAATATTAAATACAAACGTTACAATTTAAATAATTAAATAATAACAACATTAAGAAACAAAATAAATAAGAAGGTCGTAATTCAATACATTTGCTGATAAACAAAGAAAATTAGATAAAAACATTACAAACTAAACAAGTCTATCGATGTCTTCGTCTTGAATGTGTTCCACAGGGCGGCAATTGTCTATTTTGATGAGGGTTTCTTCGTATAACTTGCTCTTCCTCCTCACTCTCATCATCATCATCATCAGTAGTAGCAGTTACATTTTGTTGATGATGGACGGATGACGATGTAGCACCTCCATAGAATAAGGATCGTGGAGGTGTATGACTAATCATCCCACCGCTCATAGAAAACTGTAAAAACTGCAAAAAAAATCAACATCAATGATTGCGATCCATACTGAGCTGGAG